AATGACAAACACAAACAGACAGTATAAAAAAAGATGGAGTCCAAAAAAAAAAACATTTTCATAAAACATACACTCAGTCCAAAGAAAAACATATACTCAGTACAAATAAAAACATAGACAAATTTTAGAAAACATATACTCAGTCCATAGAAAAGCTTATATACTCAGTCCACAGAAAAACAGACCAATTTCAGAAAAATACTCTAGAATGTCACTGCACACCAACAGTATTAACATACTCAGCTTTTATCATTTACCAAGTTCATTAATTCTCCATTAAAAATATTTAAACCCAATCGTTCATTCACATAAAACTCTTTGGTTTTATCATAGTCAGTTTTAGCATAATCAATCATTCAATCATTCAATCATATACCAACAGTATCACATAAAACTCTTTGGTTTTATCAGACTCAGTTTTAACATACTCAATCATTCAATCACATACCAACAGTATTAACATACTCAGTTTTTTTCATAAGAACAAAACTCTTCATATAACATTCATAAAATCGGACAGTATACCAAAATTGATCAACTGAAGTCAAAATCTGTAAATGCATTAAACATTATTTGAAGTCATTAAATCTATATAATTAACAAAATAGAAACTAGGAGTTTTATTAATACAAGACCTAAAAGATGGGTAAACTATCAATGCGAGGTCTGAAAGATTTTTTTTCTCAATTCGGGACTTGAATGTTATAAAACTATCAAATTAAAGACCCGAAAGATGGGTAAACTATCAATGCGGGGCCTGAAAGATTTTTTTCTCAATTCGAGACTTAAATGTTATAAAACTATCAAAATAAGTCTAGAATTAACAAACTTATAACACCATTAAATTTAGAGCTCAAAAAAATTAAAGTTAAAGATTGGCGTTTACTCATATAAAATAATAAGTAAATATTTGCATTAAAAAAAATGGACGATAGCAAGAAACTGAGCAGAGCTTCATACTTTCCTTAATTTTCTCCAACAATCTCGTATTTTTCTTATTTTTCTTCATTTTTCTTATTATTATTTTTTTTTTTTTTACTTTGTAACAAATTTGGTGTTTTAAAACTTCAAATTATCTCTCAATTTAATGGTGTTATGAGTTTTGTTAATTTTAGGACTTAATTTGATAGTTTTATAACATTTAAGTCCCGAATTGAGAAAAAAATCTTTCAGGCCCCGCATTGATAGTTTACCCATCTTTCAGGCCTTGTATTGAAAAAACTCCTAGAAACTAACTAATGGAATTAATAACACAAAATCAATCGATTACATACATTGAAGTCAAAATCTGCAATTGCATTAAATTGATTTTTCATTTAAGTCATTAAATCTATGTGATTAGCAAAATAGCAAATAACTAATGGCATTTATAATACAAAATCAATTTGGCATAAATCATGTTATAAAACTGATAATTAGTTGACTCACATTAACTAAAAATCAATTAATCTGGTTGTAGAATTTGATCATTAGGAAAAATATATCATATCAATCATCATTTATTACATTAACTCCTAAAATTCATTTAATCCGGTTTTAGAATTACTAAATTTTTCTATATAAACCCCTTAATCACTAATTCATTCTTAGTTTCCCTAAGCATACATCCTATTGTCCTTCCCTTTAGTCCAATCTTTCTATCAATCTGCTTTATGCAATTCTACTACCATATTCAGTTTTTTTAATCACATGAGATATATTCAGTTTCCCTAAACATACTTCCTATTCATTTTTTTTAAACCCAAAATCACAAAAGCATGAAGAGGTTGACCGGTGATGGGTCTCTTCTCAGATCTGGAGTGAACCGACGGAAATTCGCTCAGATCCGGAATGAACCGATGGGAACGAGCTCATATCTGTCTTGATGGCCCCCAAACCGCTGTTGAACCGCGAGAACACCTGCAAGAACTCAGTGCCGGAGGGGTTTCCGGCGTAGAGCCTCTAACGCTCAAGTCAGTATGTGAAAGAGATGAAAAGAGCCGCTCTGAGAGAGCAGCAGCAGTAATGGAGAAGAATGTAGAATGAATGGAGTTAGGGTTTTGGAGTTACCTCAGCTCCTTTATATAGAAGTAAAACATTTACCTGAAGTCCCCAAAATGCCCTGGCCGACTTACTGGAAATGTCTAAAATACCCTGGTCAGTTCGCATTCCGTCCACCTCCTAGTCAGCATCTAGATTCTTCCTTATCTTTGGCAGTTTCCTCCTTATCCTTAACAGTTTTCCTTCGATATGTTGAAGTGTACTGGAGTCGTCGAGATCTGCGAGCTTCAAGACTTCCTCAGTCGACTTAGGATATCAACTCGAGTCGACTGGGTCATATTCAATCGTTGGTAGGTCCTGACACGTTTGATCGTCGTCCCGGAGGAAATCGACTTATGCTAGTCGACATGTGGAGGTCGACTTAGATGAGTGCCGGGACCCTTGACCGGAGATATCCTAAAGAATCTGCAGACCGAGTCGACTTTGCGTAAGTCGACTCGGTAATTTCTGAACCGTGATGACATGAACCGTTACACGATAGTGTGGTTATATCATCTAGTTCCCCCCCAAAAATTACTCGAAGTGATTCTGAGCTTAAGAGTAAGTTTTGACGACTGAATGTCTCACTCGAGTCTCTCCACATATCCTGTCGCCGGTCGTTGCTCTAAGTCGCGTCCGTTTGATTTTTCGACTCGTAAAGTGACTTATCTATTCAATCAGATTCCGATTTGATTGGATAAGTCTAAATCTTTTCAAATTTCGAAATTCAAAAAATGAGGTCTTGAACATTAATGAGACGCTTTCTCTCTCCACCGCTTCGTATTCCGTGCATCATCTCAACCGTTGAATATGACTTTAATCTGAGGGTTAGGGTTTCTCTACTCTCCCTATAAGTACTCCTCCCCTTTTCTCGTCTTCACTTTTCGCACTCAGACTCTCTAAACTCTCTGTTTCTTCGGCAAATACAACATCTCAAGCTTTCCGGCGCTCTTCCCATTTTCCGACGTTCTTCTCGGATCTTCCAGGACTTCTCCGTCAATCATCATGAGTATGAGTAAGTTCTCTTTGCTTTTCGATTTATTGCTGTGTTTCAAAATAAGAATTTTTTGTTTTTCTGGGTAATATGCTTGGGGCTTCGCCTGTTCGTCGGTTTTATTGGGGATTTTTGGATGAGTTTCTAGCGGTTTTCCCTTGTTAGATCTTTAGTTGCAGATCTTTCATTCCTCTTGAGTGTTTCCGTCCAGTAGCTGATTTGACATGAAAAACTAATTCTGCCTCTTTGGTTACCCTTGATCTGTCGTCCTTGTGCCAAGTCGAGTGAAGCAGAAATTCCCTACGAACTCTTCTCGGTCTTTCCTTTCTTTTATTCTTATTTCGAGTCGATTTACACGTTCTTCTCAATCTTTCGAAGACTTAATCTTGGAGTCGAACCATAGTTATGATTATCTTCGTCCTTTGATTGTCGTTTTCTTTGTTTTTCCTTATTAGATCCCGACTCTCCCCCTGTTTCTGATCCTGTTACCGGCTCCCTCGCCCTTGAAATCGACGGATATTCAGGCTCTGCCTCCGTTGAGATACTCGATGTCAAAACTAGTGCTAGTCAAAATGTCGAAACCGAAGGCTCCGTTACTTCTAACGCCTCGCCCTTTGGCATCGACTGGGACGTATATAACAAGCATTATTGTCGGGCACTCTTTGTGCGGTCCCTGAGACCCTTCGGCTTAACTCAGTCCCTCTAGGTATCCTTAGGTTTTGAGTCCTCTCGTACGTATCAGTCCCTTTTTCTTTCATAAATAATGGCTCTCTAAGTCGAGTCCTTAACTGTAACATGTCCTCTGACGAAGTTTAGCCGTTCTTAACCCCCTTTTCTTTTGCTCCTGCAGCCGAAATTGATGGCTTCAGGGAGTTCAGCGGGCTTCCCTCCGACTGGGAAGTGGTCGTCCCTGGTCCCGAAGACGACTTCCGACATCCTCCTCGCGGTTGCTTTACCTTTTTCGTAGATCAGATAATGTCGGGACTGCGCTTCCCGATCCGACCTGAGCTGCTGTCGCTGAGTAGTCTTTACGATATACCAATAAACCAATTTACCCCCAACTCCATACGAATAATGGTGGCCTTTATAGTCGTCACCCTTATAGTGCTAGGTAGTTTTGTACCCGATTTTTTCCTTTATTGCTACGGGTATAGGTTTAGTAAAGGCGCCCATTGTCTGGGTCGTCGAGTAGGCGTTACTTTTCTTGATGACCTTTTTTCCAATATCACCGAATGGAAGAAGAAATACTTCTTCATTCGACCTTCTCCTGGTCAATATTTTTTCTCAAATGAGTGGATTACCAGCAAAACTAAACAACGCAAGCGCCCCGACTCTCCGCAGTTTGCGGCTATGTTGGAAGAATTGAATAAACATGTGTGGAGTGCTCGTCAGCTGACTAAAGATAGTTCTTTACTTAGCCATGTCGGCATCTATGTCGACAAGAGTGTTCCCCGGCTTAATGACCCTTGTAAGTCTCTCAGTTTGTCAGTTTTCGCCCTTATTTATTACCCATCGTTTGGCTTCGTGTGTTTATGTTCGTTTGCTTGTATGCATGTATGGCTCATGTCTGTCTGTATTAATTTTTTTTTTTGACTCAGTAAAATCTTTGGCCCGTTTCGAGAAGAAGAAGGCCGAGGCGGCCAACAAACCAGCCACTCGTCTTTTCCCTCAAGGGTCTGAGGGAGGTTCCGGCTCTGCTACTCAAACTGCGGCAGTCGAGACGACTGCCGCTAAGAGGTCCAAAGTGGTGCTCCCTTCGGCTTCCAAGC